TCTCTCTCTCTCTCTCTCTCTCTCTCTCTCTCTCTCTCTCTGTCTCCCTCTGTCTCCCTCTCTCTCTGTCTCTCTCTCTCTCCTTTTTAAAGAGCAACCTGTATTATGTCTTAGCTATTTTTCTTGTTGCTGAAACAAAATACCCAATATCCAAAGTTCAGCGAGTGAAGATTTACTTATTTTGCAGTTTTTGTTCCTTATTGCTTAGCTCCAAGACACGTAGCATGGCAGATGGGCATCCTAGAGGAGAGTCGATGGCAAGGCAGGGTGGGCAGAGGCAGCAAGCAGCTAGTGACAAGTGGCAAGCAATGACCAACTACAGCCCTCTTTCCATCTCTCATATTTCATCCAGCTACCTGTCTTTCATCCTAACAGTGAATCATGAATCAATCCCAGCATCATGTACTTGATCTAAGCATCACACACACTAGATTTAACACTTCTGAACCCCCCCATGACCACAAGAGACTTTGAGGGGAAAACTGGATATTATGTATGTTTAGTAAATGAAAATTATATCTATGTAATGTATACAGTTGATAAGTTGGACACAGGCATGCAGCTACGAAATCATGACCACAGTCAAACCAATAGGTAGATCCATCACTTCTGAAAGTGTCCTGTCTTTTGGGGCCTTGCTGTTGTTGCATTGTCACAAGAGGCCTAAGCATCAGATTGATCATCTTCACATGACTTTAAGTGTGTGATAACAACTCTGCAGAATTGGTTCATCTTGCATAACTAAAATTTTATGACCATTGGATAGGAGCTCCCAGCTTCTCACTTCTTCTCACTGTGGTTGCCCCATTGTATTATCTGACTCTTGTGAGTCTGACCATTTTATGTACCTCATACTTCATAAATGGAGTGCTTATTTATTTTTCTCTGACAAGCATATTTCACTCAACATAGTATCCTCAAGGTTGCTTTCTTATGAAATGTAAGGATTTCCTATGTTTTTCAGATCCAGTGGTCATTTAGGTCACTCCTGTACCTTTTTGCTTTCACTGGTCACCCAGGTTTGGACATGAATGCTACAGATTCATGTGTAGTGCCGTGGTGATCTGTCATCTTGCCGTTAGCTTAAATTATCACAGAAATTGATTTTATTCAGAAGACTAAGCCCCAGTATCATTTTCTCTTTCCAGCTGAAATGCCTATCTTGATGGAAAATGAGTAAAGTTAAAAATCACCTTTTTGGTGAAATTAGTTTTTATGGAGAAAATAATTATAATTATTGAACATTGACACTTTAAAAATTATTTTTATTTATTTATTTTATTTTAATGACCAAAAAGACAAAATAGCAATGAAACATTTTAAAAACAGGTTAGTAGGACAGTTACAATAATTAATACATTGCATATTATTGTCTTCATAGTAGTTATTCAGAGGACAAGATGCAGACATGATATCTTTTCTAAACAATGTTAGTACAAACTTTCTTCTCAATGAACTAAAAGAAAGTAGCTGTATATCTATCCTATCTTTCTTATGTATACATATATACTTTTTCTTTTTACAACAAAATGGTCCTTTATACTTTTGCAAATTAGTAACATGTGACACTAGGTTGTCTTGTGACTAATAGTTGACCTTAACCAAACAGGATGTTTATCTCAGGACTGAGGTAGCTTTGTTTGCTTTAGGCTCTGAGGCCTAGTCCCACCTTCATACATTTGATCAATTTTCTAGCTTCTGTGGCTCCCACCATATCCTCCTTTTTTGTTTTGTTTTGTCAGAGATAGGTGTTCCATTGCAGCTAGAGGTGCTGTATTTCAAGAAATCTTTAAAGGACTTTTTCATACTTGATGCCAGTCCAAGGATTGTGGGTACTTGAATTCAGCAAAACAACCCAATATAGTCCAATAGTCCATAATAGTAGTGAGTTAACACAGCTGGCAATTGTGAATATTGACACTTTTAACTGCTGTGTTTTCAGCTCCATTTTTATAGCTGAGTAAACTGAGATGTACAGGAGTTCAATAGTTTTCTTAATAACACATAATTTGCAAGTGGTAGAACTGGGATCCAGAATAAGTGGCTCAGGTTTTAGCTACTGACTTAATCTCTTGGGGAACACATCTCAAGAAACTCAAGGAAATGTTTAAATCTCTTACAACTCTCATATTCTGCTATCATTTAAAAGGTGACTTCTTGCTTATTTCTGACTTTTAAATGGGGAAAAGATTACTAGCCTAGAGATCTATTAGTTAATTGTTTACCAAATGCCCCATTTATGGGTTGGTTTGGGCAGTATTATGCTTCTTCTGAGCTTCAGTGTTTCGAAGTCTTTCATTCAAAAACAGGTTGTTTTGTTTTAAACAAAGATCATTTAGTTATATCTGGATTGAACAACTCTAAAAAAAGATATGGTGCTTACCTGAGGCTAACAAAATAATTTGTGTTTTTTTGGAAAATGAGATCCAGAAAAACTACCCGTGTGTCAATACCAAAATCAAATGATGAAGGATCTACTATGAAATTTGCTTTCTCAAATAAAATGTAGTTCAAAAGAATAAATTCATTATCTTCCTCTTTTGGGGATACTTTTCATTAGAATGTAAAAATGATAGCTTATTTTGAATCATACA